TGTAAGAATGAGATGAAATTAAATACAATTAAGTAACATTTTCAAATCAAACTTTTTTTTTCCTGTTCTGGGGATCAAACCTAGGGCCTCATATGCACTAGGGATGTATTCTACTACAAAGCTCTAGCCCAAGCCTCAAATCAAACCTTAGAAAAGATAATTTTGGCATTTTTATTAGATGCTCAGTTTTGGTTATTGATGTTTTCATTAGTTACTTTTGTATCTCTGTGACCAAATATCCTAAAGAACAACTTAAAGGGAGGAATTATTTATTTTGCTCATGGTTTCAGAGGATTCAGTCTATGGTCACTTGGCTCCATGCTCTTGGACAAGAACATCATGGTGGCAGGAGCATGTGGCAGGGGAACTTCTCATGGCACACAAGAAGCAGAGAAAAGGAGACAGGGAGAATAGCAGGTAAAACTTTTCAAGTCATGTCCCTGTTGACCTAATGCCTCCATCAGAGCCTCAACTCCTAAAGTTTCTACAACTTCTCAAAATAGTACAACCCACCATCTATGAATAGTAGTCAGCACATGAGCCTGTTAGTGGTATTATGTAAAGAATCATCTAGAATTGCTCTGTTTTCAGAGTCTGAAAGAAGAGAGTATGACAGCAAATCCCTTAATCTCAGCACTCAGGAAAACTGAGGCAGGAGGATGGTAAGTTCTAGGCCAGCATCGACTCCATAGCAAACCCTATCTCACAGAAATTAATAAAAAGGGATCATTAAAAGATAAGTGAGCGTGATCAGTTTTGTGTTCTATGAAATATAATTGATCTTGAGCTTTGTTGGATCCTTCTCTCCACTGCTTATTAAATACCTTTGAATGACTGTTCGCTAAAGTTTTCTATTGACATTTGTTCTCTTAATTGATATTCCTTATGATAATATAAATAGCTTAGGAAATAACATACACTTTAGCCTTAACAGACATGTATTATGCAAATATAAATTCATGAAATTTCTGTTGAGATAAATTTAAATAGGACAATATAGTAGATAAGACAATGAACCTTCTCACCACCCAGAGGATTCTTTTTATCCTAAACATAACTCCTGAAAATATAGGTTACACAGCAAGGAGGAAGTTAAGAGAACAGATGAAATTAAAATTGCTAGTCATCTGACTTTAAGATAAGGAGGTTTATCCTGGAATAATGTGGGAGGATCCAGTATACAGTTACAGTAACTTAACAGTTACTTAAAATGGGAGATGGGAGAGTCAGTGTCAAAATGGTAGGATGGAAGAACTCAGCCTGATGTTGCTGGCTTTGAAAATAGAAGAGGAACATGAGCCCAGGAATGAGAGTAATCTCTAGAATATGGAAAAAGGCAAGGAATGGATTGTCCTCTAGAGAATCTTCAGCTCTTTCCAGGCATGCTAGATTTGAAAGGTTAACAGAAATTGTCCAAAGAACAAAGAAGAAAAGTTCAGTGTAAAATGAACAGCCCCTTAGAGATATATGGAGTCAAATGTCCCAAGCATTCAGGTAATGGAAGTTCCCAATGAACTTATGGACTTTCCTGCCCAAGCTGGTGGATCCTCAGATCTCAGCCTTCTGAGTAGCTAGGATTACAGGCGTGAGCCACTGGTGCCCTGCTGCTTTGCTTCTTTAAAGAGGTTTTTGTTAGGTTTCATTCCTCATACCAATAATGTGACTTTTTTTTTGCCTTTATAAGCTTTTTTTAAAAAACTTTTTTTTTACTGTAAAATACTGTACAGGGGGGCTACAGTTACGTGCGCAAGGTAATAAGTACATTTCCTATCAAGCATTGTTACCTCCTCCGTTGTTTTTCCCCTACCATCCCTTCCCTCCCACCTCCACAACTATACTCCCTTTATAAGCTTTGTATTAACTGCATTCAAGGATGCCAGTTCATTTGGGACATGAAATGATAAAAGAAAGAGTTAGTGAATTTGAAAGAGTAACAAATTATCCAATCCAAAGAACAGACCAAAGAGAGTAAAGAGAAAAATGAGAAGAACTTCACAGATCTGTTTCAATGTTTAGCATTCCAAACTACACATAAAATAGGGGTGCCCAGTGAAGAAAAAGCAAATTGAAAGAAATAATGGCTTAAAGCTAGATTTGATAAAAACTATTCCTGAGAGACCCAGAGATCTCAACATATCCCAAATACTAAAAACACAAAGAAAAACCATACCTCGTAGTTGTATAAAGGAATTGCCATTTAACAAAGCAGTTTATGAATATGATGCATCTTGGTCAGTGTTACCCCTTTGAACTTTCTTACTCTTCCTTCTAAACTCACCCTTTCTCTGACTTTTCTTAAATTTGTAGGATACATACTAAAATTTTGCTGCATTTCCTACCCGCCACTTCATTTGTTTTTTTCCACTTCTCCTTGATCCCACCCTACTCTTTTCAAGTACTGGTTTCCTGGTATTTATTTTGTTAATCTTTGATTTAGCCAATCTAAGGACTTATATTCTGTGTTCTCACTTAATAACATTTGTATACACTTGCACTATCCCCAAGTATTCATTTATAAATTAATTATAGCTTCCACATGAAAGAGAACATGTGACTTATCTCTCTGGGCCAGACTTACTTCACTTAACATTATTTTGTCCAGGTCCTTCCATTTTTTTAAAGAAACTTAAGTGACTACTTAGTCACTTAGGTTTTTTTATTCTGTAGAAACATATATTCATTTTCTTTGTTTTTTATGTTTATTTCGTATGGTAAAATATTTTAACCATTTCTAGCTATACAATTCAGTGATACTGAGTACATGTTTATGTACTATCACATAATTTTCAGAATATTTTCATTAAACAACTTTCTCTTCTATGTCTCCTCTAGTAGCCACTATTCTACTTTCTATCCATGTCAAAGCTAATGTCCATATAATATGGTGATTAATGTAATGCAATGCTATGTATCAAACTTTCATTCTGTTTGAAGGTTAATATTTGTTTTGTGGGCATTTGTGTTGTTTCTTGTTCTGGTTCCATGTTAATGATGCTGTGAACATAGCAGTGTAGACTTTCGGTTCTTTGGAGTAAATAAGCAGAAAGTAGGGTGTCTTGCCAAGATGAATGAGGAGTCATATTTAATTTTTTTAGTAAGTAATTGTATAGAGGTTACAATTCTATAAGTCATTGTTATTCCTTCCGTTGTTCTTCCCCATTTTCCCTCTTCCATTTCTACCCTCAATCATGCTTAATCTTTTTAAAGAACAGCCATACTGTTTTCCACAGCAGTTGTATCATTTTCTGTTCCCACTAATGAAGCTTGAACTCTAGTTTCTCTCTATCTTGCTTTCATACTTTCGTGTGAGTGTCGCGTGTGCACACACACACACAAAAGTGTACTGGTCATGGGGCTTGAACTCAGCTCAGGTCCTAGTTTCTTTTGCTCAAGGGTAGCACTCTATCACGTGATCTACTTCTTGCTTCTTTTTTGCTCTGAATTGGGATCATCAGATCTTAGCTTCTTGAGTAGCTAGGATTATAGGCATAAGCCACTAGCACCCAGCTTTACTTTCATTTCTTGATAATAGTCATCCTAATTGGATGTGAACTATCTCATAACATCTTTTGGCATTCTTCTAGTTATTACTACTGTTGAACATCTTTTCATGTGTTTATTTGCCATTTGTATACTTTGGAATAATATCTGTTCAAATCCTTTGTTTTAAAATCTGGTTGCTCATTTTTTTGTTGTTGTTGTTTATTTTTCTTTCCCTCCATTTCTACCTTCTTCCTGTACTCTCAGTCTTACTAATGTTTGTTGACTTGGTGAAAGTATAGGAAGTATTTATAGTAAGGAAAGTAAATCCATGACTTTTGGCAGGTTAAATATCATAGAAGAACGGTTGTTTAATGGGGGTGATAGATTGGCATTTGAGAAAAAAAAATCTTTCAAAAAATTGGATTTGGCTGTTCAGTGGTAGGTTGGTGGGGGAAAGAGGCAAACACGAAAATAGGGATTTGTAACTATATGTCCAGAGATTATTAAATTAGGCGATCCTTACCTACCATAATTTTTTTTACTTAAAAGTTGTTTTTAAAATACATGGGAGGTAACTAGAGAATGAATTTTTAGTAGGCAAAAACAGTCAACTTGATCTTACAATTTTTTAATGTTTGGAAGCAGATTAATGTTTTTAAATAACTTGCCAACTAAATGGGAAAGTTTGTATTAATGGTGATACTATACCAAGAATAAGCTGTTTTCTGATAATTTTGCCACTCCTATTTAATATATTATTGCCTAAGATAATATGAGACGTCTTTTATTAGGATATTTAATAAGCATGTTTTTATTTTTAGATAGCATATGTAATTAAAGCTGATCATTATTTTACTGTCATTTAGTTAATCACACTTTCCTAATCCATAGACACAGTGTTGTCTATTACTTACAGCAAGATTTAAGTGTTTGCTTTTTGTTGTTGTTGTAAACTTTTAAGGTAAATGTGTTATGGTTTTCATGATTTCAGCAAATGGCTTCTAATTTGTAAAGAATAGAGGAGTGGATGATGGAAATCATTCTTTAAGAAGATTTAGGGGCTGGAGTGGAGCATGCATGAAGGCCCTGGGTTCCATCCCAAGCACTTGGGGAGAAAAGAGGGAGAGAGGGAAAGAAAGAAGAAAATTTAGGTGGTGGTTGGCAGTTGCCATGAAGGATGAGACATATCCTTAGTGCAAATTTGATATACATTCTTGCAGGAGAATTTTTTTATATTTTCCAAATAATGGTTTTTTTTGGGGGGGGATCTGGTTGTGGGGCCTGAACTGTGGGCCTGGGCTCTGTCCCTCAGCTCTTCAGCTCAAGGCTAGCGCTCTACCACTTGAGCGACAGCACCACTTCCGGCTTTTTTTTTCTGCTTATGTGGTGCTGAGGAATCGAACCCAGAGCCTCAAGCATGCAAGGCAAGTGCTCTACCACTGAGCCACCTTCCCAGCCCCCAAATAATATCTTTTATATCTTGAAATTTCCATTTAATGCAGTCATTCTTGTTTAAGGTACGGCCTGCGTGAGTTTGTGGTGATTGCTCCTGCAGCACATTGTGATGCAGTTCTCAGTGAGTCTAAATGCAACCTTCTTCTAAGTTCTGTTTCTATTGCCTTGGGAAACACTGGCTGGTAGGTACACCTCTTGACAAATCTAGACAAGCTGAATACTTTTTAATGATAACATATGAAGATGAGCGATTATTGAATGTTAGATTTCTGTCATAGTGAAGAACTTAGTATACATACTTGCATATTATACTAGATTTTGGCATAAAAGGATAATAAAATATTTTTGAATATTTATAAAGGGAATCATTGAAATATTCAATAGTATTTGAAATGAAGGCTATTTTTGTGCTTTGTTTTAAAGTTTTACTAACTTGCTCGACAAAATCTAGTTAAATGTTTGCTAGGTGCTGGTGGCTCACATCTGTAATCCTAGCTACTCAGGAGACTGAGATCTGAGGATCTCGGTTCAAAACCAGCCCAGGCAGGAATGTCCATGAGACTCTTATTTCCAACCAGAAAACTGGAAGTGGCACTGTGGCTCAAGTGGTAGGTAGAGTGCTCACCTTGAGCTCAAGAACTCAAGGACAGCGCCCAGGCCCAGAATTCAAGACTCACAACAACAACAAAAAAGAAATTTTACATATTTTTGAAAACTTTAAAAAGTTACTTTTAAGTACTTTTAGCCTCTGGTCCTAAATGAATCATATAAAATAATGAAATTTGCTTTATACTATTTTGCTATTTTGAGCTCTATTTCATATTATATAACTAAGGGATTAATGTAAATTAAATTTATTAGGGAAAACAATGTATTAGAATAAATGTTGTATCATATACTTTGTATTGTACCATAAGTGAATAATTTGAACATTTTTAAAATAAGAGAAATAGAATATTTACTAATGTTCCAATATTAACATAGGAATATATTTGTATAACCTATTATTATTTGAGGTAATTGTATTACGTAAAGCTACCATAAACAGTAAATTATTAAATTCTAATCATTGAGCCCATGAGAAATAAACTTAGGTTCCCATAAGCATCTGGTAACAACACTTTTATCAATTAATATATGGCCTTGTTTTATGTGTGTCTCTGTTTAATTATTCCTGATTATTTATTAGGATTGAATTCAATCAGCACTATGCCTTATTCCTGAAGGAAGTTTATGTAATAAGTGTATTTTATGTAAAAAAGATTGATAGCCTGGTCTTAGGAAGACTACCTTCAGAACTATGCTTGGGAACCATTTTGAATGAAATCAAACAAAAAGCACAGAAATGAGAAAAATAAATAAATAAACCTCAGTAGATCATAAAAAGGACACCTTTTTATAGTCTGAGAATTGAAACAGAAGGGCAGGTATTCAAAATTTTGCTGCTTTGTGCATTTCTGCACTATCCACATTGATTGAGATGTACTATCCACATTGATTTGAGGTTACAAATAGTGAGTAGACTAATTTCCAAGTATGGAAATTTCCTTATAGTGAGGGTCACCTTTATCTTTAAATGATAAATATTATTTCAACACAATGTTGGTTTAATTTTGTATTTTTTTATACTTATAGATTAGGTTTATCCTAAACTTGGAAAGAATAATATGATACACTGTTCCTCAAGAAAGAAATTTTACAAATAAGAGTATACTTTTGACATATCCTTATTTAGTGCTTTTAAATACATGAAATTAAAATAAGAAAGTTTTTAGGTTTTAGGTTATTCAGTGTTTAATGAACTTTCAATCTGTTCCTTTATAACCATGTCCTGAAGTCAGGTACCACTGTTTGTTCAAATTCATCACAAATGGCGAAGAATGTATGTGGGAGAATGTCAGGGACCTGGAGTCCGAACTGATTTTGAGATGGTTCATCTTCGAAAAGTGCCAAATCAGTACACTCATTTATCAGGTCTGCTGGATATCTTCAAATCAAAGATTGTGAGTTGGTCATGATATTGTCAATCTTATTTGGGATGCAGATAAAAGTGTCAATTTGCTAATTGGAGCATAAAGAAACATTTTTCTATACTAGTAATTTTTTTTTTTTTGGGTCCGGTTGTGGGGCCTGAACTCTGGGCCTGGGTGCTGTCCCTCAGCTCTTTAAGCTCAAGGCTAGCGTTCTACCATTTGAGCCACAGCGCCACTTCTGGCTTTTTTCTTATGTGGGGCTGAGGAATCGACCCCAGGGCTCAGGCATGCAAGGCAAGTGCTGTACCACTGAGTCACCTTCCCAGCCCTATACTAGTAATTTTTAAGGGCTAGATCATCCCACTTACTTGGAAGTGGAGACTGGATAGATGGCAGTTCAAGGCCCACATGGGCAAAAAGTTAGAGACTTTATGTCAACAATGAGGCTGGACCTGGTTGTTCACTCTTATAATCTTACGTACACAGAAGGGATAGATAGGTAGGAGGCTTATGGAGTGAGACCTTATCTGAAAATTAACTAAAGCAGAAAGGGCTGGGGGACTGACTCAAATGGTACAGTGCTTGAGTAACAAGGATGCCTTGAAGTCAAACCCCAGTACTGCCAAAATAATAATTAGAAGAATACTGCAGTTAGCCATATAAATTACTATGTATGCAATATCCAATTAGGAACTGAACTATTTTGTTTGTCCAGTTAACATTTACTGAATTGTTCTATTCCTTGTTCTTATGATTGAGAGCTGTGAGGCTAAATGGGATATGCTGAATGAGTTTTTGATGTACTGTAAGAAATAGTATAATGGTTATGGAGGAAGTACCTGTGTTGCTCTTGGAGAATAACATGTCATCTAGTTATCAGACTTAATAAACTGACATTAAATTCTAAAACTTTTTATGGATCAGTTAAAAATTGAGAAAACTGATACCATGTTTCCTGATAGGATACATTGAAGAAGATATACAATTGTTTATGTACCTTTTTCTAAAATGTTTTATATAAAACATGAAGAAGTAATCATATACTTCTAAGACCAACCTATTTTACAAAATAAAAATGTTGTCAAAATGTTAATATCATCATAGACAATAAAGACTAGAAGCTGTTTACATTCAAGGAGATTAAGTGCTACATGACACGAATGCAGTGCATGATTTCCACTGGATACTGGGTCAAAACAAATTAGCTATTAAGGACCCAACTTGAGACAGTTTGACAATTTTAATAAAGTGAACATTAGAAAATAAAAACTGTTAAACTTCTTGAATGTCATATATGAATTATGGCTGTACAGGATAATATCCTTGCTCTTAAGTGCAAGCTGAAGTTTTTAGAGATGAACCAGCTTAATAACTATCTTATTTTTTAAAAAATTGGCTAAATATCACACATATATGTATGGCAGTACATATGTAGTTAATAATTGATGAACTTGATGAGTCATAATCATGCTCAATGTACTAGTTTTCCTCAAGGTTTTAGAATTTAAAAATAAAAATGATGAGGAAAGCAAATGCTCAACTTTCTTATTTCCCTCCCTCCCTCTTTTTTCCTTCTTTTCCTCCATTCTTTTTTTCCTCCCTTTTTCCATCCCTTCCTTTCTTACTGCCTATAGGAGATTAAACTCTGGGCCTTAATCTTGCTAGGTGAATGCTCTTACATTTCAGCCATGCCCTCAGTCCTTTTTTTTATTTTAGTTTTTTTCTTCCCAAATAGAGTTGCCAACTAACTGTTGCCCGTGTTGGCCTTAAATCTCATGATCCTCCTGAATAGGTGGGATTACATTTATGAACTACTATTACACTTTAAATTTCTTTTTCTTTCTCTTGTTCTTCCTCTTCTTCCTCCTCTTTCTCCTCCTCTTCCTTCTGAAATCTGTAAATACAGAAAACTTGCTTTACTCAGGGATTTATTTTACCCAAGTATGATCTTAAAAATAAAAAGGAATTTCAAAATTTAAATTCCTATGTGAGCATTATATAGCTCATTTTATGTGGAGTTCAGTCAGTACAACGGAGTCATTAGTTGTGTTTAAGTCATTGTGTGATCTCCTGGATATTTCTTTTTCCTCTAATATTATGAAAATATGCCTTCCAAAAAGCATATTTTGCTACAAAACAAGGTAAAAGTTATTTTGCTTAATTTATGTGATAATTTGAAAATTTGAGATTTGTTGAAAGGAAGCATATCTTTAGCAGAACTTGGGTGGTGGTGCAGGAAAAAGAAATCACCCTCAATACAATACTGCACTCTGTGCATCCTGAGTGTTAGTATTTTTTTCTCTGTGGCTTCTTGGAATTATACCTCCCAGTAATACCAGTGGATTACTCTACTGTTTAATTCTATATGTATTATTTTGGGATTTTTTTTTGGGGGGGGGGTCTGGTCGTGGGGCCTGAACTCTGGGCCTGGGCGCTGTCCCTCAGCTCTTCAGCTCAAGGCTAGAACTCTACCACTTGAGCCACAGCGCCACTTCCGGCTTTTTTCTTATGTGGTGCTGAGGAATCGAACCCAGGGCCTCAGGCATGCAAGGCAAGTGCTCTACCACTGAGCCACCTTCCCAGCCCCGGGAATTTTTTTTAATATGGAAGAATTTGAGTCCAGGGGTTCAATGCCAGCCTAGGCAACTATCTCACAAACAGAAAGCTTTTCAAAACAGTAACAGGCAGAAAATTACAAAATAAAACTTCTTTCACAATATCCTTTATACTTTTTAATTTTTATTTTTATTATAAATGTGATGTACCAAAGAGTTACAGAGAGGTTACAGTACATAAGTCAGGAAAAGAGTATATTTCTTTTTGAACAGTGTTATCCCTTCCTTCACGCTCTCCCAGTTTTTCCTTCCCATCCCCACCTACAAGTTGGATAGTTCATTTTCATCATAATGTCTAGTGAGTAACATGGCTTTATTTGTTGATCCTTTGTCCCTGCATTTCTGTGTTCCCCTTACCCTCCCAAAGACAGATAGATGAAGAAATAAGAAAAAAAGAAAAAAAAAACCTCATTTCTACTTCTGGAGTTCATTTTGATAAATATTATTTTATATGATCAGAGGCATTGGGCCTTTGTGTTCTCCCCAAAGAATACCCTCCTTTGTTCTTACTAAGTACGTAAATGCCTAGAGTATAATTTTATTATACATTAAAATTGTTTACTATTCATTTCCGATTTTGAATGTAGAAAAAATATGAACTACTTTTTAAATAAAGATAGAAATATTATAAGAGTAGTATAGCTTTGAAGAAATGATATTTTTTAATTCCAGTGAATGTAAAAATAAGTTCTGAGGTTCTCCACAATACTGCACTTATATAAGATAAATAGAATTTAACTCCAGTTAAGCAGCAAAATGCCAGACGTGGAGACATGGCTCAAGTGGTAAACTGCCAGCCTAGAGTGAGAAAATAAACTAAGGAAGAGTGCAAGGCCTAGCACGAGAGACAGAGACAGAGACAGAGAGATGGAGACAGAAAAAAAAATAAGTTCTGAATATTTAGCCAGAATTTCAGAGACCACCAAACAAAATAGACCATGCAAAATAGGGTAGTAATTCAGTTAACAAAAGAGCTAAATTTATTTTAAGTTCACTAAAAATCCTAGAAATTAACACTGCCATGTAAACATCCCATGATCTCATATTCTCATAATGCTTATTCTACATCATGCAAAATAGGACTTAACTGAGTGAAGGAATCACATAGGAAGCTTACAAAAATGCATATTCAATATTGTTGTCCATAATATTCATTATTGTTGTCCATAGCAGGCTTCCAGGTATTGCTGATGGTACTGGTATAGAGACTTAATATACTTTGAGTATTGAGGGAAAAAGTGACATTAAGCTCAGCAGCATCTATAAATATCACTGATAACTTGCACTAAATAGCATTCATTCCAACGTGAAAATATAGTGGATCCTCAAAATAAGTTCAATTTTAGGCTGCTGTGTCCTAGACAAGCAAGGTTAAGATTTGTTGTTGTTGTTTTGATTTGCTTTTTTTTGTTTGCCAGTCATGAGGCTTGAACTCTGGGTCTGGGTGCTTCCCTGAGCTGCTTTTGCTCAAGGCTAGTGCTCTACTACTTGAGCCCCAGCACCACTTCTGGCCTTCTCTCAGTTTATGGCCTTTCCTGTGCAGGCTAGCTTTAAACCACAATCCTCAGATCTCAACTTCCTGAGTAGGTAGGCTTATAGGCATGAGCCACCAGTGCCCCACTAAGGTTAAGATTTTTGATAGGTCAGGGTATATCTACATATATATGTTTACCCATAACATGATACAAATTGTCTAGAACAACAAATTGTCTAACAAGGTCTTTTAATAACCTCTGCTCCAGTCACAAAGCAATGTAGATAAATAAAGATACCTGAAAAGATACAACTAGGGTGACAATGACATAGATATCCTTGTGGACTCTAGAAAACACATAGAAGACTACAAGTGTGAAAGCAGCAGCTAGGATAACTAGGACAGACTGCATTAAATGGAAGGAGCCAGAGTGAGGGCATTTTAGGCTGCTGTGTCCTAGACAAGCTGCTTAATTGGCTGCTTAAGTCAGACACTGGAGCAGGGCACTTCTACTTGGCACACAGGCCTGGAGAGGAATTCCTGTGTAGGAGGAAAGAACTGTCATTTGCACCATGAGTGAACAACCTCACATTCTATGACTAGATAAGCATCTCTAATATCATCACAGAGCAAGAGCTCCAAACACATCTTAGACTTAGTCTCAACTATTCTGTATGTAGGGACAAAAAAAAACAAAAAAACAATGAAAAAGAAAAAGGAGTTGACTGGCAAGAGAGTTGTCATTTAGGAATATAGCAGAATATTTAAATCCATATGTAACTTAAAATGCCAAAACTACCTCTCAAAAGGAAGATTTTTCTAAAAGCTGGTTTGGTTTTTTTTTTGGTCAGTTGTGGGGCTTGAACTCTGTGCTTGGGCACTGTCCCTCAGCTCTTCAGCTCAAGGAGAGCGCTCTACTGCTTGAGCCACAGTGCCACTTCAGTTCAAGGCTAGCACTCTACCACTTGAACTACAGCGCCACTTCCGGCTTTTTTCTTTTTGCTTATGTGGTGCTAAGGAACCAAACCCAGGACCTCATGCATTCAAGGCAAGCGCTCTACCACTGAGCTACCTTCCCAGCCCGCCACTTCAGTTTTCTAGTGGTTTATTGGACATAAGAGTTTCATGGACTTTCCTGCCTGAGTTGGCTTTGAACCTTGATCTTCAGATCTCAGCCTCCTCAGTAGCTAGGATTGCAGGCATGAGCCACTGGCTCGGCTTATTGTATTTATTTTTTATTGGTCCTGGGGCTAGAACTCAGGGCCTGGACATTGTCCCTGAGCTCTTTTGCTCAAGGCTAGCACTCTACCAATTTGATCCACAGGGACACTTCAGTTTTCTGGTGGTTAATTGGAGATAAGAGTCTCACAGGGACTTTACAGCCTGAGCTAGCTTTGAACCACAGTCCTCAGATCTGAGTCTCCTGAGTAGCTAGGTTGGCATGAGCCACTGGTGCCTGGCTAAGAGCTAAATCTTTATGAAACAAAGTAGATTACCAGTGAAGAGTGAGTACCATTGGGCATGTACATAAGTAATTTTTTTTAATACAGGAGAAAAGTACCACATATTGTATAGCTTTGCATAAAACAAAACTTCAAAATAGCCAACCAAGTCTTTAAGTTCACTTCTCAAATCAAGTTTAAAAAATAAATCCCTAGTTTTTTTTAAGGCAAAAACTAAGGCATAAATATGCATTTACACCCAAAATTTCACACTTATCTAGTACATGATTTAAAGATTTAGATGCAAGTCTAGACAATGTTAAAAACTGATGGAGCTCTCTATACAGGGCATGTTATTTTGAGTATCAGTTAACACTTTTTTGCTTTGAAAGGAATCTCTGCCCTAATATGAAAAATAATCTCCTTGAGACCTCAAATCAATTTTGAGAGAAGTTTTATATCAAAAGAGTGAGTTTTGTTAAAATCTCAACTGATACACAAATGATGTGATAAACTAGGAACTCTTGTTTATAAAGCACAAATAGTAAAGGCCAAAATCTTAAGTCCACAGATCAAAGTAGTCCGTTCAGAATAGGTAGACAGAAATGTCAAACTACAGTTGAGTAACATAGAAGAGTGACTGAGATGATAGGTGCACACAACCATGCCCAGCTTAAAGCTGTATTTTAAAATTTTTAATCACTATTTAAAATTAGCTATACAAGCTTTTTATTTAAAAATATGAAAGCAGTATGCAGAAATTTTAGAAATCTTTTCACACAAATTGACTACCAACTATATAGTTATTTTTAGAGACCTTACATTACCAAGTCTAGCTTTTGTCAGTATTGTTCCTTATGATAGTTTCTTGATTTCTGAAATTCTCTATTTTTTGCTTTAAGGACTTTAGGTGACTTGTTTTTCCTTCTGTATGGCTAGACTAAGCATACTCTGGTCTTAACATTATAAAGTAAAAACCTAGATTTCATGAGAGTAATATTTTATTCCATAAGTTTGAAATTTTGATGTTGAATTTATTAGAAGAAGTTTACCAGCATTTACATGGTATTGTCTTTGTATATATTTCCTAGGGATGTCCTTTAACTCCATTGCCTCCAGTTAGTATTGCTATTCGATTTACCTATGTGCTCCAGGATTGGCAACAGTACTTCTGGCCTCAGCAACCTCCGGGTAAGAGCAAAGTAAAGTTTCTTTTTCGACATAATGACTTGTACATCTCATTATTGCAATGGGTCCATCTGCTATTATAAGTATGTTCATATAATTATAGTCAGTCACATCTAATATACTAGGCACATCGGTTCATGCCTGTAATCTAAGTCAGGAGGCTGAGATCAGGAAGATAAAGGTTTAGGCAAAAAAGTTCATGAGAAGCTGGGTATGGTGGCCTGCTCTTGTCATCTCAGCTACTACAGGAAGTCTAAAATGTAGAAAGATCAAAAGCCTAGGCAAGAAGAGAGACCCTATCTCAAGAATAACCAGCACACAAAACACTGTAGGTATGGATCAGCAGTAGAGTACCTGCCTATTAAGTTTGAGTCCTGGAGTTCAAACTCCTTTGCCACATGTATACATACATACATGCAAACATATATACATACAATAAACTTATATTTTGATGTTTCTATCGTTAAGGCACTTTTCAGTCTATACCTCCCAAAGAGAAGTTACATTTTTTTTACTGTTTGTTTTTGATACAGCCATTTGTAAGATTAAAAACAATTGGTAGTCCAGGGATAATATTAAAATTAACATAGTTCATACTTGGCTCTGAGCAGTTACATATACCACTACTCTGTTTTCTACACTAGTGAGTGATTTTTAGCTCTAAAGAACTTCATCTAAAAAAAAAAAAAGAACTTCATCTAAACTATAGCAAGGGGAAATGAAAACTAAGCTTAAAAATTATATTAGCCAGTACTATGTGATTTTTTTGTTTGTTTCTTTTGTATGTTCTTCCCTATGGTATAACCCCTATTTTCACTATATTTGATTCCGATGCCTTGCATCTTGTATATACATTTTTCTAATTTGGAGAGGGGAAGGGAAATAACAAAATACTGAAATAAGGATACAGGTTGAACCATAGTAACAATGAGATGTACAAGACACTATGTTGAAAACGAACTTTACAACTTGGTGGGGGGGGGGCGTAGGGGGAGTTGGGGAAGTGGGGAGGAAAGGGATGGTAGGGAAAAAAGGAGCAAGTAACAGTGCCCCATAGGAAATGGACTCATTACCTTGCTCATATAATGTAACCTCTCTGTACAATATCTTTACAATAAAAAAATATATCTATATGAATTATATTAGCCAGAAGTCTCAGCTAGATAATAATACACACTGGACAATTTGTAGCTAATACATTCCAATTTCAATTCTTTTTCTTTTTGTTCCAGGCCATTATTAAACAGAATTAAAGATTTCCTGAGGTAGAGACTATGGTATATGTTAGTGAAGACGGTAGATTCAGTCACTAGTACCCCCTCCTGCAGAAAAATTTCCTAAGATGATATGATGTGCTATTAGTCTAAGAACCCAAGGGCAAGATGGGGCTGTGACTGAAGTATTAAAGCTTCTGCCTAGCAAGCAGAGGCTCTGAGTTCAAACTCCAGTGCTACCAAAGTAAAATAAAATAAGAATCTTAGCATTATAATTCTTTTTTTTTTTTCATTTTCTTTTTTGTCAGTTGTGGGGCTTGAACTCAGGGCCTGGACACTGTCCCTGAGCTTCTTTTGGTCAAGGCTAGCACTCTACCACTTGAGCCACAGCACCACTTGTAGCTTTTTCTGCTTATGAGGAATGGAACCCAGGGCTTCATGCATGTTAGGCAAACACTACTACTAAGCCACATTCCAACTCTTTAGTATTAAAATTCTAATTGCTAATATGGTCTTTGTAAATATTCTATTGCTAATTTTCTATTCTTTTTTTTTCTTTTCTCTTCTTTTTTCTTTTGGCTTATCATAGGTTTAAACGATGGCTCTGGGCTCCGTACCAGAACTTCTTTTTGCGCAAGGCAAAGGAGCTCTACCACTTGAGCCACAGTGCCACTTTAGCTTTTTCTGAGTAGTTTATTGGAGATAAGAGTTTCACCGAGTTACCTGACCAAGCTGACTTTTAATCTTAGTCCTCGGAAGTCAGCCTCCTGAGTAACTAGAATTACAGATATGAGCCACCAGCACCCAGCATAGTTTTTTTTTGGGGGGGAGGGGGGGTCCAGTCGTGGGGCCTGAACTCTGGACTGGGCGCTGTCCCTCAGTTCTTCAGCTCAAGCCTAGCACTCTACCACTTGAGCCACAGCGCCACTTCCAGCTTTTTTTTTTCTGCTTATGTGGTGCTGAGGAATCGAACCCAGGGCCTCATGCATGC